ATCACTTCTTCTTTGGTTATTTCCTGGCATTTTTCATTTATTCGATTATCTGTGGATGGTGGAGAACAAGGTCTATCTTCGTCAAAAAGAGTTTGTATGTATACTTTCCATCTCTCTAGTTTGTGTTCTGTACCCATAATTATTTAGTTATTATATTTTTTAATATTGTTGCTTGTCTCTTCTTTTTGTGTCTACCTACCATTTCTTTTACTTTTTTTATGAATATTAACGGTATCGTATTTTTCCTGAAGTTGTTTGATTTCTAGGCATTTTGTTGAAATCCAGTTTTCTTTTGCCTCCCTGTTCTTTTTTCTAATGATTTAATTGATTCCCTTGTATTCTATTGGGCTTGTTTATGTTTTCGTCTTACTTCCATAAGGTCCATGATCTCAGGCGTTATCCATTCTTGTTTTTTGTTGTGCTTTATGAACCCGATGTCTTCTTCTTGTATCATTGTTATTTTTGTCTAATCTATTTTTATTTTTAGAGCAGTCCATGTTATTTCAATGTCTGTCTGTACCAAGTTTTCGATGGTTTTTATTTCTTCCTCAAGCTTGATACTTATTTCATTTTTCTGTTCAGGGTTCTTCAGTTGTAAGATGTCTATTTTTTTGTCACTGTTTTCTTTTTAACTTTAAGAAATCTTTTTAATCTAAAATCCATTATAACTGGATTGTGATCGCTATGTATATCAGCTCCAGGGTATGTTTTCGTTGATTGTATGTACTTCTTAAAGGTGTTATTAAGCAAAATGAAGTTAATTTGATTTCTAACAATTCTGTCTTTTCTGTCTGTAGGTGATTTCCATATGTATAGCCTTCTAGGGTGTTGTTTGAAGAAGTTATTGACTATTGACAGATTGTATTCTACGCAGAATTGTACATGTCTATCTTCTCTATTATTTATGGTACCTAGACCGTATTCTCTTATGTGATCTTCTTCAGCACCACGACCAATGTTAGCGTTAAAGTCACCCATGATCATCGTTATCTCACCTCTTTTTGTCAGTTGCATTATTTCATCTATGTTGTTATACAATTTTTCGATTTCTGCGTCTGACTTGACACTTGTTGGACCAAGTGACAATATGGTCTAGCAGCAGTTATTCTATGAAAATTGGTCTGTGTACAAATACAAACTGTGTTACTAATGTCTTACTTGTGTAAGGATTGTGTACCTGGGATTATGAACGCCCTAAACCTAAACAATCGTGTCAGTGCACTTGAAGCCACTTTAAGTGAAGTGAAAACTGCAAGCACCTAGAATATTATTGAATTAGAGGAGGAAATTGGTACGATATGCGTGGAGATGAAAGGTTTAAAAACAAGTTTTGAAGCAATCTATGATTATCTAAAAAAAGATCTTGGGATTATTAAAGAATCTACCACTGGCAACAAATCAGTAAGCAATGCTGGAAATATGATAACATTCAAAATTGTGCAGATACCAAAAGTACTGATGCAGTTTTTGGGGAGATACAGGATAGGACCCGGAGAGCCAAAAATATTATTATATATTATGTACCTGAAAATCATTCCAGTGAATCTAACATACGTGCTGAACACGATAGAAATGAGGTCCAAGGAATTCTCAATAAAATAGGTGTAACGAACAGCACCTTTAAAGCTTTTCGTCTTGGTCGACAAACAGATAAACCAAGACCTCTGAAAGTCGCATTTAATGATTCAACAACAGTTATCTCATGTTTAAAACAACGTAGATCTTTAATGGGATCTAATTTGCGCATTGGAGCGGATCTTACCCTTTTACAGCGTGAGAAAGTGAAGGCCGTATATCAAAAGTTAGAACTCAGAAAAACACAGGGTGATAATGATTTGAAGATTAAATACTTTAATGGGGTACCCACAATCGTTGTCAGTAAATCCAATAATTTAAAAAACGATCCTTGAGCTTATATTTTCAGAATGTTGGTGGTATGTGCACTAAACTTCAGAATTTCAGACATGCTGTGAGTCTCTCTAATTATGATGTTATCATTATTATTGAAACATGGCTTACACGTAGAATCTTAGATGCTGAATTGGGATTGAGTGACTTTAATGTGTATAGACATGACAGGGACCTTCAAACTAGTTCAAAGACTCGTGGTGGTGGTGTTCTTATTGCTGTACATAAGCGCCTTAATTCAATGTTGGTTAGGTCTATCGATTCCTCCGTGGAACATGTTTTTACACAGGTTATGTGTGGCACAAAAAGTTAATCATTGGTGTAGTTTACTTTCCTCCACGGTTATCTGGGTCAGTATATGAGGAGCATTCTACTTGTATGTTAGACTTAGCGGAAAGATTCAGTGATTGTGAGTTCTGTATTTGTGGTGACTACAACCTACCTGAAGCATCCTGGGATAATTTTAGTAATGGTGTTACGGTTGAGTGTCTTCATCACTCTCCAGAAAATATTATTTGTACTTGCTACAATTTTCAAAATATGTCACAAGTAAATGCTTTGCCTAACCTTAATAATAATAAAATTTATTATTAAGTTAATAATAACTTAATAATAAATTTTTAGATCTAGTTTCTGTACTCAGAGAGATGCAGTTGTGTCGATTTCAACAGATATTCTATTGAATACTTCGCAACATCATTCAGCTTATACTATAGTGTTACATGAAGCCAATTTAAATTTGTTTCTTAAATATGATGTCTTCTATCATGATTTTAAAAAATGTAATTACCAAGTTTTAAATGAATATTTAGCCTCAATTCATTGGAACAATGTATTAGATGAATCAGATATAAATTGCTGCTTAGAAAATTTTTACCATATTTTATATGATGCCATCAATATGTTTGTTCCTATCAAACGGTTTAAATCATCTCACTTTCCAGTTTAGTTTTCGCGAGAATTAATTGAGCTTGTCATACAGAAAAAAAAAGACTCACAAGAATTTTAAAGCATCAGGCAACTCATATGATGAATTTTCGGTGTTGAGGGAAAGATGTAAAGCATTACAAGCAGTATGTTATAAGAACTATTTAGAGAATATTCAAACTAATATAATAATATAGAATACTAATAATATCAAACAAATCTTTTTGGAGGTATGTTAGTACTACACGTGGGTCTAGTGCTTATCCTAATGTAATGTCTAATAAAGGTGGGGATGTACTAGCTCAGAATGGTGACGAAATAGTCAATTTATTTGCCAGCTATTTTTCAGGTACATATAATGATAGTGAGTGTAATGTACCTAATTTTAAATTGGACTATAATGTGGATTTCCAGAGTCTGAAGTTTAGTCTGACTGATGTTTTCGAGGGGATTAGCAGTTTAAAAACTACATATTCTTCAGGGCCTGATGGTATACCTGCAGCACTTATTAAGAACTGTATTTTTTCCCTTTGTAAACCTTTACAACAAATTTTCAATTTATCGTTGTCATCTGTATTTCCACAATATTGGAAAAATAGTTTTCTTACACCTATCTATAAATCTGGCAATCGCGAGTGTGTTAACAATTATAGAGGTATAACTATTCAATCAGCAATCCCGAAACTTCTTGATAAATTGGTATCGATAAATCTCACCTGGACTTGCAGAAACATAATTATTGATGAACAACATGGTTTTTCTAATGGGAAATCAACTGTAACAAACCTTCTCAATTACCAACAATACTTGTTGGGTGCATTTGAGAATAAAATTCAGGTTGACAGCGTTTACACTGATTTCTCAAAGGCCTTTGACCAGGTTAATCATAATCTTTTGGTCCACAAACTTCATGCATCTGGCTTTGGTGACCCCATTGTTAATTGGATTAAAAGTTTTCTGATGGGACGTACACAGCAAGTTCGTATTAACAATTATATTTCAAAAGAATTTCATTGTTATTCTGGTGTACCACAAGGGTCTCATTGTGGTCCCTTGTTTTTTAACTTGTTCATTAACGATATTGGTAAGGCTATCAAAAACTCACACTTCCTGCTATTTGCTGATGATCTTAAGATATTTCGTTGTATACATAATAAATCGGATAGAGATCTCCTGCAAGATGATGTAAACAACATATGTTTATGGTCAAAACAAAATGGTTTAAGCTTAAATCCAACTAAATGTTCTTGTATTTCATTTGGTCGTATAAATAATCTAATGGCTAATAGATATATTCTTAATGATGTACTCTTGGATTCAGTTACTGAGATTAGAGATTTGGGTGTATTATTGGATTGTGCATTGACATTTAGAAGCCATTTTCTTAAAATTAAGGAAACAGGATTTCGTAATCTTGGTTTTATTATCGCAACAGTCATGATCTCTCACCTATTGTATTTAAATTATTGTATTGCTCTTTGGTACGCTCAGGTCTTGAATACTGCTCTGTTGTCTGGTCCCCGTTTCATCAAGTATACATTGATGGATTGGAAAGCGTTGAGAGGAAGTTTCTAAGATCTTTAGCTTTTAAAGCCCATATTAATATAAAAAATAATGAAAATTATTTCATAGATAATTCTATAATAATGTCTCATTTTAACATTGATACATTGAAGAACCGCAGGTTGAGAGCTGATATGTTATTTTTGTTTAAAATTCTGAACAATGTTATTAATTGTCCCTCGTTATTGGCCAATGTACACTTAAACACAATGCATAGAACTCGACACACTGCACTCTTTCATATTCCTTTTCATAGGACTGATTATGCTCGTCATTTTCCCCTGTCAAGAATGCTCAGCTCTTGCAATGACCTCCTATTGGATCCTTTCTGCATAAACATTAATGCTTTTAAAAGGCAACTTAAGAATCTGACTATTAATCTAGATATGTGATACTTACTATGTGATACTGATACTTTTTTTAAATTTTTGTGATATGATATATTGTTTTAATGTACAAATTTTAACTGTTTACTTGTTTCTTTGTTATTGTTTTGATGTTTATTGTACATGATCTTTACTTTTTACTATTTTTTGTATTTTATTGTAAATGGTTCAACCGTTGAAATGAATAAATAAAATAAAAATAATTTTGCAACAAATACAATACAATATAACACAATATATTACAATGTGACGTAAAGAAATTCGACAGAATGTAATAAATATACTTCTTATAATACACATACAACTCATTTTGTTAAATTAATATCTTACTTTAATTCTCCAAAAATAACATAACTGTATTTTGTAAAAGTTGTTTTCTTGCAAATAATTAAGATCTCAGGAAGAACAGTTTGCCTCTGGAAAAATCTAAAGATTTAATCTAAAAGAAAGTTTTTTAAATAATATGTATATGTATATATATATATATATATATATATATATATATATATATATATATATATATATATTCTTATACTGTTCATATTATTTCTTAACTTACAATATTATGGAGATTACTTCATATATCAGATCATGAATCATAATATCAATTATTTTTATGATTATTATTATAAATTATTATTTACAACATAATTATCCCATTTCTCGAGAAGTCGATCATCATCTTCATTCCAAAGTTCTTGCAATAATTGCCATCCGTACGCGGAAGTTACCAAAACGTAAGTGTTTGATGGATCTTGTTTGTTAGCGTAGGCACCCAAAACTAAAGACTGGCATAAACGAGCTGCTACACAAAGCTGAAATAATAAAAATTAATTATAAGAAAACTGGATAGAAAATTTGGTAGAGGAAAGGCACCAAATTTGAGACACTTTTTTTGAAAAACAAATATAAAACAGAATATTCAAAAGTTTTAAAACATTTATTTCGAAAACTTAAATTTAATGTTTCTAAAACACAAAAAAAAAATAAAGCGAATAAAACATATATTTTTGCAAAAAATTATATTTAATTTTTTTTGTGACATTTAATATTAAAAATAAAAGGTGCCCTAATTTGTGATAGCCAGGTATCTAAACTTGAGATAGGTACCTTAATTTGAGATACTATTCAAAAAAGCCCTTTCCTTCGCAGAAAAGGCAAATAAATGTACTGGACTTTATTTCTCCACAGTCTGCATGTGTCCACCTGCCACATTGGTAACACTTTGCCCATTGTTCGCCATATCTATCGTCGGAAAATTAGCCGCTGCAAAATAAATATTCCGCGTCGTTTTTTCTACTTTCGTTGAACGATGAATCAGCTAATAAAAAGTTTTCACTGCTATCTGAGCTTGAACACGAAGAAACTGTCTTCTTTCTTCTTGATGTTTTGCCCTTTGATGTAGAAGGTTGACCTACGTCTTCATCTGATATTTTTTCTTCGGGCGTTGCTGTTTTTTCATCTAACACCTTTTGTTGAACTGTTTTTTTCTGGAGCAAATACACATTCCAAGTTTAGCTGGGGTACTAGTTTTTTTCTGGGCCTATGTTCGGCAGTGGACGCAAAATGGCTAATGATGATGATGACTAGTTTTTTTACTTTTTTCTTCTGCAAAATTTGCTCTAATTCTTCTGTGTAGGGTGTTAGAGAAATTACTAAAGCCTTTCCTGATCTGGCATGTGATTTTTTAGTGGTATCTCTCTTGTAGAATGTAGGGATTGGACAGATGTCTTGTTCAGTTCTATGTTATCATATTGGATGATTTGGTTGTTCATGGTTTGGTTCTATTATTTGTTCGTCCCTTTCGTTTCGTGTTTCTTAGTGCTCCTGAATTCTAAATTCAAAGTCTTTAAAAATATGGCGACAAATAGGAACCAGTCCAGTTTTTCGGAAACCATTGCAAGATGTTTCCATCGTCGCAGCTTTGTTATAAGCTTTACAAAAAATACTGGCAACGGCATAATGCGATACAACACTCAACTGATTTTCTCTAAGTCAGTTTTCTATTTCTTGTGCGTAGTTAGTTTTCACCGGTGCCATAAAAGCAACATCCAACGGTTGCATTTTTTATGTAGAAGGTGGTGGGAGACAAATAATCGTCACATGATTCTGTTTGTCCAAATCTATTAGAGTCACGTTTCTCGTATGAGAATAGTGACCATCAAGAACGAGAAGAACAGGGTCTGCAGCTGAAGGTTTAGTGAATTTTATGAAGTGTTGGAGCCATCTAGTGAAAATATCGGTCTGTACCCAACCTGACATATGGCATTCTACGACTGCTCCAAAGGGAGATTCTAGCATCAACTCTATTTTCATATTTTTTCTAAGGAAGATTAATAATGGTGGTACGAAAACTCCTGTAGCATTCATATATGTAATACCAGTAATCAGCTTGCTCCTTTCTTCTAAAGTAATTGACGAAACCTGCTTCTTTCCTCTCATGGAAGTTACTTTGCTATGTTTGTGCTGAACAATTGTAAGGGCTGTTTCGTCTACATTAAATATACGTTGTACAGGGTTAGTCATCATTATCCAGCCTTAAGAGTCCACTGCTGAACATATGCCTCTTCCTCGTGTTTCCAACCCCGTCTATTTTCCGCCGCTCTTATCCATTACAGCTCTTATTACATCACAGGGTTAGTAGGCTTAAGATATTCTGGTTCATACAGGTCAAAGAACTTTTCAGGAGTAAAATATTTTACTTGAACACATGACATTCCCTGAGGAGTACGCATTGAAAGCGTTGGATGCCTTTTCAGAAAGAACCCCAATCATTTTATTCCGACTGATTTTTTGACTCCGCTAAATGAATGTGGTATTGAGTTTCGTATTGCAAGTTGAAATCCCAGTCGTTTTATACCACGCGCCCTAAGCCCGAAAAGACGTTGCTCCATAGTTAGGTCATACCCAACCAACTCATTTTCTAATTCCAAAGGAAGAATAGGTCGGCGGCCAATTGATATCCCGACGAGTTCTTCTGGAGTCTTGTCTGATTTCACATATCGTTCTAAGGTACCTTTGGACACTCCAAAAACTTTTGAGACCTTCAAATAGCCCATCTCTCTATTTTTTACTATATTTACAGCCCTTATCATATCATTTGCGTTTAATTTTTTATTTTTCGGCGGCATCTACAAACAAAAAAAAATACATAAAAATAAAAATTTTACACGAGGTATCATAAATATTGTTACAGGTAAATATTGTTACAGGTATCTCCAATTAGGATTTTTCCGTTAAAAATAAAATGCATTTTTGTTGGTTATGTGTGCCACATAATTACCGTTTAATTTGCATAAAATGTATTAACTAATATTAAACTAACAAAAAATAATTGAAGTAGATGTAATCATCTTACCTTGATGTAAGTATTGTAAGTTTTTATAAATTCCAAAAAAAAATTGTAAATCAATTAACGTGTTATGTGTAAATCAAATTAACGTCGAAAAAACAACAAAGGTCACTTCTAAGCGTCAACTAAAAGCAGATCTATCACTACTGCATAGAATGATCAGTTTTCAATATGTTTACTATAATAGATGTCACAATATCGTATACAAATATTCGATGGTGTCTCAAATTAGGTGCCTGTCTCGAATTCGGTGCTTTTCCTCGAATCGTATATTATAATTAAAACATGTAAAAGGTTGCAGTGTATTGCGGTTGCATAATTAGTAGAACAAATAATTAGCTTAATCTTAATCTTAATTACAAAATTAAGTTATTAGTACTTTGAATTGTATTTTAAACTGACAAGCAGAACGTGTTCGGGTTTAATGCATCAATATGCACACCCCAAGATTAAATTCACAATCATCGCACATCTAAGCCAGTTCGTATGGTGTGGTATGTTTTAATCTTCTGACTTACTGAGAATATTATCTAATAAAGGCTTCAATGTTGCTATGACTGGGAAGTTTTTCCCCGTACTTTTTCACGTATTCTTATATTATATCATCTACCTACATTTGTATTGTAATGTATTTTCGTGGTATTGTCCGGTTATTTGTTGATTTGTCCACAGTTCTGCTCCATATGTCTAAATTAACTTTATTATAGACTACCAATCAATCTCAATTTTAATGTATTTATATTAACCAGTACATTTTTTTTTATCGAGGGATGTCTTCTCATTCTAATCAGTATAAAGCTAAGAGGAGAAGGAATTAATCCTAGGAGACGTTTTTTGCACAGAGAGACTTTGCACCTCGTTAAACCATCCCAAGACCACTGGTTACCTCCAACAATGAATGAGGTGTGTAATTTTTGATTTCACTCTTCACGAGGTGACCAAGTCAAGCAGTGAGACGGTGAAGGCTATAAGACACTAGGGCGACAACGTCGCAAATGGTTCCTTTGGGGCAGCATGCAACATACTAGGCCAAGTTCTATAGAATGGTAAAAAGCCACAGCAACCACAAGACCAAGCAGAATTAGATGCGCTGTAAATAAATTTCCATGGACAGAAGGCATATTTTTGCATATGAGATTAGGGATCTTGGTACACATAATCCGTAAGCTCCTTAAAGCCAGTTTAGTATGGGGGACTGTACCGGAAATATGGCAAAGTCATATAACTATCTAAGGTAGGAAAAGTATCAGATCTTAACACCAAATTCATAAATACCAATAAGCATATATTCTTTTCTATCCAAAAAGGCTGTAAATACTTTTGGACAGGTATATAAGAAACAAAGTGCTAAAAGATAATTCTCTAAGTAATCGTCGTTAAGTAAACCAACCTGGTAAATCTACGGACTAAGCATCGGATGATCTAAATAGGCTTATCTTAAAGCTAATAGAGGACAAAGAGATAGCAAGGGCCGCATATTTAGATATTAACGGGGCATTTAATAACGTTTCCACTAACTAAACTTATCACTTACTAATTAAGGTAATAAGTACATGAGGCACACCTGTGGTAATATGCAGATAGTATCCAATATCCACTCTGGCTATATACACTTGTAAGTATATCGTGGGTGCAATCTTACTAATGCTCAGTAAAAATCATTTAAGTTTAATCGTTAAACTTCCTTAAAACAAGGGCTTACGACTGCCTGAGTTTCTTATTTATTTAGTAAGCGTCTAGTATTTGCGCCACACATTCCCTGTAGAGAGTATATGCGTGTAATTGTCGTTTATATTAAGGTGCGGTGCATTACTTTGCTGTTATTGTTGTTTGTAAATTAAAGATTTTTTAAAATGGTGAAACCAAAACTGTCGGGAATAAAAACAAGATGTGCTGTAAACTGCCCCATTTTTGGATAACCATCCGATAAACCTGAAAATGTTTTAGCGACTTATGAACAAGTGATGAAGAGGTTAAATTAAAAACGTACCAAGAAAGAGCCCAAAGCAAGTTTCTGGTATCGCTAAAGAGGTTGCAATTAAATTGGAAGAAATACGGAGAAAGACAATTCCAATCGTTTTACATACAAGAATTATTTAGCTTTTAAAAGCCTACCATGACAAATATATAAAACTTATGAAGCGATTTAAGAACATCGATGAAGACATGAGAAATTTGTGAATACATGACTGGCGATTAGAGAGAAATTCTTAAGAAGGCTAGGACCCACACAGAGTTGTAAAGCCAGAACGATGATGATGATGAAGTAAGACTACACTTTTATGAATTTTTTTTTGTAGTAAATCTCAGAAAGTGTCTGTGGATGAACGCGAATTTCTATTAGATCAAAGAGGTCCGAAAAAAATGGTGATAGTCTCGATTGATAGAGCAAAAAACAAAAACAATTATCCAAAGAGAAAAATGGCAAAATGAGAAAGGTAGTGTAGTAATTGACAGTGGTATAATCCAGTATCTGAATGTGAGTTCCTTTTAAGTTCAGAATAATATAATTTTGTTTGTGATTTGACGTTGATTAAATTACATAGAAAATATTTCTGTACCTGTAACCTCTAAAGATGTTAACAAAAATCAAATGAGATAAGAATTCAGTTGACAAATTTTGCAAAAACACGTGACAGACACGGCATTTCTCATAGATCTGCAGCTAATCTTGCACGTGCTGTTTTAGCGGATATGGGAATAATCATATCAGTGGATGCTTCTAATGTTATCGACAAAAATTAATGTTAAAAGAGGATGGCTTAAATATCGTTCCAATATTCAGAGACTACAAGAATATTCGACGATTAACCTACATGGGCTTTACTTTAATGGACGCAAAGACAAAACTTTAGCTCATATAAAAAAAGGTACAAGAGTTTATCGTTAAACAATCGTGTAATCAAAAATATAAATCATTGCCTGATATATATTTTTCTTTGTTTTCTTAGTTAAAGTTTTATTCCACAGGATCGGATGGAGTGTTTTTATCATGTTTCCTTTTCCTATTTTTCTTGTTATATCTTTGTCGTCTCTCCCGTCTTCGCTTAGTGTAACTCCGAGATATTCGTACTGATCAACGTTTTTAATTAATCCGCTTTCTGTTTCCATGTCTTGACCGATGGCTCCTATATTCATGTATTGTGTCTTTTCGGTATTAACCTCTAATCCCCATTTTTTGAATTCGTCTATTAGTTTGTTTATCATGTACGTCATATCCTGTAGGTCCTCGGCAAGAACTACCTGGTCGTCTGCGAAGAGGATTGTGTATATAGGAGTGTCATTTACCCATATGCCCATTGGGCCGCATTTTCTCATCCAATATTTTAAAGCATTACCAAGATATATTTTAAATAGGGTTGGGGAGAGGCAAGAGCCCTGTTTGACACCCTTTGTTTGGGTGAAACCCTTGGAAATTTGGTTTCCAACCTTGATATAAGCTTGGTTATCTTGATATAGCTTTTTCACGGCATTTGTATATACTGCATTTATACCTGCGTTTTCCAATGTTGTCCATAGTCTCTGCAGTGGTACGGAGTCAAACGCTTTACGGAGATCTATAATAGTGGCATGGAGTTCTAGTCCTCTTGCTAATCTCTTTTCCGTTAGATGTTTGAGAGTAAATACATTGTCGACACAAGATCTCCCTGGTCGGAATCCACTTTGTTCTTCGATCTATGTGGCTTCTTTTTCTATTCTGGCTTTCAGAACTCTTTCATACAGTTTGCCAGTGGATGTAATGCTGATACCTCGGTAATTACTGCAGTCATTCCTGTTTCCCTTTTTGTAGATGGAGTTTATGTACGAGACTTTCCAATCTCCTGGGATACTTTTTCCTTGTAGGCACTTGTTAAACATTTTACAAAGCAATTCTAATGTTATTGCAGTGGCATGTTCGAATAACTCGATAGGTAAATCGCCCGGCCCAGGAGCTTTATTATTTTTCATTTTTTGTAATGCGTTTCAGAAGTATGTATCTGTTTGAAATGTGTTGGGTAGTATTTTTTGGCCAGTGTACTACCAGTGTAACAGATCAAAAACCTGGACCCCTGGCATATTTAAGGTGGATAGCAACTGCCAATCGCATACTTCGGATCTATGTGCCGAGGTACTATGCCACCGGTGAACTTAATCTTACTCACAGAATATATTATGAAGGTATATGCTCCAATGTGGTTCAACATCAAATCCCAACCAACATATAAATATGGTGCAAAACATCTTGTTAAAACCATTCAATTATCTTGGTAGTTAAATAAGGAATTAAGAGCTGTAGTCGACGTTGTAATTTAATAAGATGCATATTTCGCTCATTGTAAAAATATACTTTCAAGCAAGATATCGTATGAACGACACCATATTCGAACACTTGGATTGTGCCGCATCTTAAAAGCAACAAGTTTGCCAGTGACAAAATCAAAAATTGTTAGGGTCTTCAAAATTCCTCCTATAAATTTTGATGCAAACGACTACTCTGAGTAAATAACTGACAAGAATCTAAACTTACAGAACCAACTATGTTCTATAGAGTTTGGAATGGCAATCTACGAAATTATATTAAGAATCCCAAGTTAGACCCTTTTAACATTCTATCTATCTATCTAATTAGCCTTCTTCGAGCCATCTTTGGACATAGGCCTCCCCAATCCTTTTCCATTCTTCTCTGTCTGTCGCTACAGTCATCCATCTAGAGCCCACGTGCTTCTTGATATCATCTGCCCATCTCATTTGGGGCCTTCCTCTGCTTCGTTTATATTCCCACGGTCTCCAACTTATAAGAGTTTTGTTCCATCGGTCTTCTTTTTGTCTTATATTGTGTCCGGCAAATCTCCATTTCAATTTTGCAACTTCTTGCCTAACATCCCACACTTTTGTTATCTCTCTTATCCACTCGTTTCTCTTCTTATCCATTAGTCTTATGTGCAACATTTGTCTTTCCATTGCTCTTTGGGTTTTTATGATTTTGTCCATGTTTGCTTTTGTAAATGTCCACGTTTGGGAACCATAAGTGAGAACAGAGAGTACGTACGCATTGATTATATACTTTGGTCTTAAGATGCTGTGGATATCTTTTGTTTTTAAGAATGTAGCTTAGTTTGCCAAATGCCGCCCATGCCAGTCTAACTCGTCTCTTGATCTCTGCTGTTTGGTTCTCTTTGTTAAGTTTTATAGTTTGACCAAGATATATATAATCCTTAACTTGTTCTATTTCATCTTGTCCGTTTTAAAAGTATCTTCAAAAGCCTGATTGAAAAGTTTCGGTGATATTGTATCATTCACGCCTCACGCCTCTACTTATTTGTAACGATTTTGTTCCTTCATATACTTTAATTGTTGTTTTGGCTTCCTTATATATATATATATATATATATATATATATATATATATATATATATATATTGGTTATTAGTTCCGTATATCTGTGGTCAATTCGGCTGTTAATTAAAGAACTTTTTACTGCCCAATGTTCGACACTGTCGAAAGCCTTTTCGAAATCTATGAACGCCATATATAGAGGAATGTGGTATTCATTTGCTCGTTCTATAAGTATTTTCATACTTAGTAAATGGTTGCTTGTGCTGAATCCCTTTCTAAAACCAGCTTGTTCTTTCGACTGGTATCCATCGAATTTTGTCGTCAATCTATTGGTTAAAATTTTTGTTTATACATTACATTGAGGAGTGTTATAGGACGGTAGTTTTTTTATATCTGCTTTATCCCCTTTCTTGTGTAGGATAATGGATACTGATTCCTTCCAGTTGTTTGGGATTCTTTTTTCTTTTAATATCCTGTTAAAAAGGGAATGTAGAGTATTAATTACCACTTTTCCACCATATTTCAGCATCTCTGCAGTTATTCCATCTTTTCCAGGCGATTTGTTGTTTTTCATTTCTTTCAATGCCTTCTTTATTTCTGATTTGCTTATTTCGGGCTGCAGCTCTGAGTTGACATTTTTTATTTTGACCTTAAGTTGGTTTTTAATTTCGTCTGGTGGTTCCTTTTTTGTTTTATATAATTCTGAGTAGAAATGGTGGATTATATTTATGATGTCATCTTTAACGTTTGTTTCTATTCCATTTACATCTTTTATTTTGTTTATTTCAAACTTACCTAATTTCGGCCTTAAGCATTTCATATTTTTGTTGTTTTGTATTACTTCTTCTATTTTTATTTCTTGTTTTTTCTCTTATTTTATTTTATCATTCTGCTTATTGTTTTCAGCTTCCTTCTTTTATCCATAAGCTTCTTTGTTTCTGTTGATATATAGTTGTTCTTTTTTAGATCCTTCTTTGTTATTTCTTTTCCTGATGTAATCATTGTTGCTGTAAGTATGTTGTCTATTTCGTCTATATCTTTATCGTCACTGTCTAATCTTTGGTTACGTTGTTCTTTTAATAGGTCTTTGTATATCTCTTTATATTGCCCTAGTTTGTTTCTATCTACTAGATTCCAGTTTCTACTTATTTTTCTTTTCATCTCATAGTTACCGTAAATACTAATTTTTGCTCTGACTATCTTTTAACATTAAGATTGAAATATACCATGCAGTGTCAAGCTTGTAACAGAAGCTTTTCAGCACTTTGTGAAGCTCATTCGAGGGATGGATTTATAAAAGCAAGAGTAGATTTTAGAAAAACTATATAAGCATTGACTTTAACCAGTGCAGCCATTCTACTAGGTATGCTGTTTATGCATTTTCCTGCGATTTCTTTTAAATTTAACAATTTCGTTGCGTTGCGTTAGAATTTCTTGTTCTAACAAAAAATTTTAGCAGGGACTGTAGTGGACAGCATGATTGTTCTAGGAATATAAAAACTCTATCATCATCGTCATCTTTGTAGATTACCGTTACTTTCAACGATACGTGAAATTTCATTTCCATAGTGCTAGTTTTTAAGTTATACCGCTGGACTTTAAAAGAAGGGTTAAAGATAGCGAAAAACTTGAGACAAATTGAAAAATGAACAAACGAATGTATGAAATAAAATGTAAGAACCTGTAGATGTAAATCGAAATGTCATCTAGAAAATGTTAGTTACTCAAAAAAATTAAAAGACTGGTTTTATACTACAAACCATACTGTCGAAAAAGTATTAAAAAATCTTAAAACAGTGAAAAACTTTAAAGACAAGACATGCTCTAAATATAAGCTGAAAGTAGAAAAAAAGAGAATTGAAATTTTGTATGCATTATAAGCAATTTTTGTTCTAGATTTACTTAATAATTAAATAATCCTACCTTTATAAGCCGATATTCTTCATTACTTAGAGGCATAATCGAAGAGTAACCTGCAAGAACAGCTCCTCCAACTTCAATATTCTTCGCCAACAACATCATATACGCCATAGTTATTGATATTTCATATAAATAACATCCAATATGACAATCACCATAATCAATAATTGCCGTGATTTCGTATAAACCTTTATCGTTCTTATCGACTATAATATTGTGTTCATTAAAATCTCCATGAATCAGTCCTCTACTAAACGATTTGGAAAATGGTAGTACTTTGTCCTCAAACTTCTTAACAATTATTTTTACTAGTTCCCGTCGTTCTATATCGGAAACTGCGTGTAAGAAATTTAGTATTTGTGGTACTGACTCAAGTAGCCAAAGTGATTTATAATTTTTGTAAGCGACATGAGTAAAAGTCTAAAACAAATATGACATTTAAAATTAGAAATAACAAAAATACTGACTGGAAATTTACATATTTAATTATTATTGATACAATGTAAACGATAAAGAAACTATATTGTTTTTTAGTCACTTCTTGAAAATTAATTTTATTAAACACAAAATTGTTTACAATACTTGTCAACATTTAACTGTAGAGAAAAAATAATACAAATCCAGTATAGAAGCTTCGCTTTAAAAACGATGTTAATTTACAATTATCTGATGGTTTCTTAAATTTAATTTTACTTTACTGTTTAGGTTTAAAACAAACATAATTATTTTATTTTAATACAATGATTTTAATTTGTACCACTAGTAATTAGTAGTAGGTACTTCTGCCAGAATAGCATTTACAATAAAAATAAATAATAAGAAATCGATTGCACATTGTACACTGCGACATATTAGCTTGTGTCTACATCGCAAAACTCTTCCATGATAATCGCGAAAGCGCTCGCTACTAGATGGCACTCTGGAACGTTCTCGTAGCCTCGTTTTGGCTTTATATAAGCGGCGATGTGCAACGAAACCTCAGTTCGAATCCAAATAGCCTATGATGGCGAACGCGGTGTTGACTAATGAGTAAATATTTTACAACTTACGTATTCCCGTTTACGTATTTACGTCTACGATAAATTATAAATTATAGATAAGTTTTTAAAAAGAAGTGCAGAACCATCTACGTCTGAAAGTGGCAGTAGTAGCAATAAAAATAAAAACAGATTCTACATTGATGAATATCTTCAATATGGTCTAACCGTTATTTCCAATAAACAACAATGTGTTATTTGTGGACAAGTCTTGTCAAAAGAAAGCATGAAGCCATCAAAGTTACTTCGACATTTAAATAGCAAACATCCAGGTAAAAAAGACAAGCCCGTAGAATTCTTTGAAAGAAAGCTGAACGTTCTTCACAAACGGCAAGAAAGTTTTACCTTGGCAACCACTACTGATGAAAAAGCATTATTAGCAAGTTATAAAGTTGCTTATCGTGTTGCCAAAACTAGTAATCCGCACACAATTGCTGAAAATCTGATTTTTCCAGCAGCTGTTAAAATGGTACATATAATGTATGGGGAAAGAAAAGCTGCAAAATTAAATACAATACCTCTGTCAAATAATACTATCCAAAGAAGAATTAGTGATATGGCAGAAGATATTCAAGCGCAAGTTGTGGAAAATCTTAATAAATGCACGTACTTCTCTCTTCAAATGGACGAATCCACAGATATATCTAACTGTACCAAATTCATTACGTTAGTAAAATATGATACAAATAATGGCATTCAAGAAGATATTTTATTTTGTTCCCCATTGGAGACCAATACCACTGGAAAATGTTTACTCGACACTTTTGTGAAACGTACAAGTATGATATTGACTGGGGTAAATGTATTGCTATATGCACAGATGGCGCTAAAGCTATGACAGGACATAAATCTGGTCTTGTCGTCAAATTACAAGAAATAATGCCTAATGCCAAATGGAGACATTGTTTTTTACATCGAGAAGCTCTTGCGTCCAAAGCTTTGCCTCCTGAAAGGGACTGTGTTATGAAAACCATCATTAAAGTTGTAAATTCCATTACAGGAAAAGCTTTGCAGATCCGTATTTTTAGAAAAATTTGCGAAGATATGGGTTCTTGATTTGAAAATCTTCTCTATCACACCGAAGTAAGGTGGTTTTCAAGGGGCAACGTCTTAAGAGTATTTCACTTAAGAGCAGAGCTTTTACTGTATTTGAAAGATGAGAAGTCCTCATATGAAAATCAATTTTCCGGTTCTATTTGGCTTCTGAAACTAGGTTTCCTTGCTGATATTTTCGAGCCAATAAATATTTTGAACAGTAATTTACAATGTCGCGATATTAATATAATTACAGCCACAGATAAAATTAAGGCGTTTCTAAGAAAAATCGATTTATGGTCGACCTCACTTGGAAAAAAACAACTCGATTTATTCCAGTGCCTTCAGGAAATTATTGAAAATGTATCCAATTACAGTGTTACAAATTTTGAACAAGTTTTTGCTGACATGCATGTTACTTTGCTCAATTTAAAACAACAGCTCTGTTATTATTTCCCCAAAGAAATTCAAAACAGTTACGACAGTTGCAGATGGATACTAAATCCGTTTTTTAGCCGATTTCTTTCAGCATGTTGAAATACCAATAAACATGAAAGAAAAACTTATTGAAATATCAAGTGATGGAATCTTGAAGCTCCAATTTTTTTCCCAGAACTCGGACCAATTTTGGACCGAAAATATGCAGGAATACCCCCAGTTGGCGAGTGAAGCTGTAAAATGTTTGGTTTCGTTTGTAACATCATATTTGTGTGAGTTAAGTTTCTCGTCTATTACTGTCATTAAAACAAGAGTTAGAAATGGTCTCGTACTTGAAAATGATATAATTGTGTGTGTCTCAAATACACAGCCTAGATTTGAAAGATTAGTTTCACAGAAACAGGCGCATAGCTCTCATTAAGATTATAATATTTGACTTTGTTTTACTCTTTTATTTTTACGGACTTTAATATTTAGTTTTATATTTCGTCTGATAACTAATTGTTAATTTCTATTTACGGCGTTGTTAAAATAAAAATACATGATCTAACAAAGTGGTGCTTTTGTATTATTTTGGAAATGTTTGGCGACCCCCTAGTACCTCATGGCGACCCCCAGGGGTCGCGACCCCACTTTGGGAAACACTGTATTAAAGTATAAATGGATACTGAGGTCTTTAAAACACGCGCGATTTTTGAGCACGACGGCGCAGCCGGAGGTAAGTTTTGTTTTCACTGCAGCAAAATTCCTGTTACATGGCATGTAGGAATGTCCCCTTATGGGAAAATACTGATTCACACTTTGAAATCGTTCAAGATCTGTAAGGACTAAACACACATTCTAAGAACTCTATATTTCTTATTCTGACCACTACATCCATCAGAGAAAATATGGAAATGTTTCGTTTGTTGTAATTTCTCTGTTTATAAAATCATTAATAAAGGAGCAAACCTCATTTGGTATTTTTTGTTTATACCTTCGTGATATACATAAAACATAGTTTTCCTAGTTTTTAGGTCGTGATTATTAAAAATATTTGCAATTAGTTGATGAAGGTAAAATTTGTCTTAAACCGAAATTAGGGGAAGGGCAAGATTTTAAATGTAGTCCACGTAAATTGCTCCTACCGTAGCATCTGTTTGGCTTAAGGCTTATCCTCGAAAATTGTAACGGTAAAATTCAGAGGGATATCTATTTCAAAAATATTTTTCTTTACAAAAACAAAATCCATTCACGAAGAATATTCTAAACGTCATCTTGTACTAGAGGTTAGCTTTATACCTACCTTATACAACCCCCTATTGTGAAAAGTCTTGGGTCTATAGGTACAATAAAGCGGGCGGCCTTCTATTCAGTGTGGTTTTGAGGTAATTATAATAATACGACTATACCCGAGTAATATTAATTATTGAATAATTAATTCACAACTTAGCAAGGAAACATACAGGTAACAAATAATTGTCCTGTAAATCATAACAATCAAATCGAAGACAAACTTTTATTAAATTTTATTACAAAATAATGTATAACAATATAAATTGAGGTCACAGTATTTATTTTTTATGTCTTATATTTTCTTTTGTTAGTTTTTTTACTGACAAATTGGGTTTTTAACGTAGATTACAGTTTGATGATAAATATTCTGAAATGGAAAATGTTGAGATGTGGCGAATAAAAACATTCATGAAATTAAAATAAAATGACTTACGTCTATTAGTAGTGCGATTTATAAAATTAGTACTTGAAGCCCAAATCGCGGGAGGAATATATGCATCAGTTTTCAAATATTTATTATTTACTATATAATTTCTAAATTGAACCACTTTCACTTCTTTAGGTAACAATGTATCTGTTTTGACAACTAAATAGGTAACTAGACAAAATAATGAGTATTATTAATGTCAAAACATGAGTTTAAAGAATTAGAAGGAGGTAGTCCGTTCCCAGTTTAACGGTCAGGCTTATTCCAGTGGAATAAGTTTGAAAGCTTCCTCCAATAAGGAGGATTATTTTTCGTTTTGGCTCAGCTGACATGCTCTCTCTGGCACTACAACCCATAAAACTGTGGTAAAAAGCATGCTTTATTTATACGGTTGTGAAACACGAAGATTAACAGATACATCGAAGAAAGATATCTCCTCGAACTGGATGCAATAAAGTATGAGAATAGAAGGTACAGTCATGGATGGCATACAACGAAAGCAGCTCAATGAAAGGTCCAATGAATGAAATACAGAAGACTTCTCAAAACAAGAATCTGTATGAACACCTACAGGAATCCAGAAGAGAGGATTACCTTAGAAAACACGGATGGAAGGAATAAGAAACTTAATGAGCTCGAAACAACTTAAAGAACAATGGAACAATCCAATTGAAAGAAAAATGGACGTCGGAAGACGTTTTATAGGGATTATATCGTATTATAGGTACATATTTTGGACTAAAAATAAATTTGAAGAAAACCAAGTTCATGGTATTTACAAAAGCACAAAGCATCAACGTTAAGCTAGTACTAGATAATACAGAAATTGAACAAATATCTTCGTACAAATACCTTGGAGCATGGATCACAGAAGATACTGATTGGACAAAAGAAATAAGATGCCGCATTGGAATTGCACGGTCAACTTTTAATAAAATGAGAAAATTTTTTATAATCGCGATATTAATGTATCGCTCCGGATAAGAATGCTTCGATGTTATATTTTCTTTACCCTTTTGTATGGGATGGAAGCTTGGTCACTTAAAAAATCCAACATTAAAAACCTAGAAGCATTCGAAATGTGGTGTTACCTACGTATTTTAAAAATATCATGGATGGATGGCAAAACAAACGAACAAGTTCTCGAACAACTAGGAAAACAATGCGAAGTTTTAAATTCCATAAAAATCAGGAAATTGGAATACTTA